GGCCCGAGATGAGCACGGCCTCGGTTTTGTGCTCGGCTAGACGTAGGCCAGCTGAGCCCATCCAACGATCAATCTCCTCAAAGGCCCTCTCAAATCAGATCTGGCCTTGATTGACCAAGGCCAGATCTCAGACTCTCACTGAGTAAACCTCCTGGTCTTCTCTTCGACTTACCCCGGATTCCCCGCGGAACCGCCTACCGGCATAACATCACGGGGAGGGTATTAGCGCACCTCGCGCTCTGCCTGCTCTATAGGTCCACGACCTCTATGTGGGTAAACCTACCCAGCTCCCTAGACGGCAATTCCTCTCCTTCGCCTCTCTTCTTTCCGTAGCGCCCTCAGGACCACTCCGACGAAGTCATTTGTCGCTTGCCATGTCTCCTCTGATGAGAGCATGACTTCCATCAGTTTCTCGGGTAGAGTGTGACGTTCCACAGCACTCTCCCACTCACGCCTGCGCGCCTCGAAGCGCCGACACGCGAAGAAGATGTGCTCCGCATCTTCAACCGACCCGGGACAAGTCGGGCACTCCGGGGAGTCATCATGTCCAAACCTATGGAGATACTCCCGGAAGCACCCGTGCCCCGACAGCAGCTGCGTCAAATAGAAGTTTACCTCTCCGTGTTGACGGTTCACCCACCTATGGACATACGCGAGCAGACGGTAAGTCCATCTCCCTTTCGTTGACTTGTTCAACTGTACCTGCCAGCTCTCCCAGCTTCTCTTCCGCACTTCAGTTTCATCCTCGTTTGCGGCTGGTTGAGACTTCCGCCGGTACAGGGTTCTCCTCTCGGCTGCCAACAGTCCTATCGGGATCATCCCTGCTATGACTCCAACCGCGTCACCTGAAACTGTGCGATATGCACAGGCCACCCTCAGTGCGCTCAGCCTATAGAATGCCGCCAGCCTTCGTCCGATGTCATGCACCATAAGCGCATCCGCCCAGATGGCAATGGCGTATGTGAGAACAGAAGTAATCACCGTCGCCAACAGTGCCCTTCTCTTCTGCTTTGGGCCACATACATTTCGCATCAGGCGCGCAAGCGCTGGTCGGACCCCAGAGGCCCTGGTGGTAATGTGCTCTACCTGCTGTCTGAAATTGAGTCGGGCATCGATCATCAGTCCCAGGTACTTGATGTACGGTTGGGAAGTGAGCTCGAAGTCCCCGACTCTCAGCTTGATGGTCTCAAGGTTCCTCCGGCCCGAGATGAGCACGGCCTCGGTTTTGTGCTCGGCTAGACGTAGGCCAGCTGAGCCCATCCAACGATCAATCTCCTCAAAGGCCCTCTCAAATGCTATCCTGATGTCGTCCAAGTGTTTGCCAATGACCACCATGGCCACATCATCCGCGAACGCCACCAGGTTCACGTCTTGGGGAAGGACCAATCTCAGCAGACTGACGTACATGATGTTCCACAGCAATGGTCCCAAGACAGAGCCTTGAGGCACCCCTCCTGCGACCCTGTATTCTTTAGGACCTATCTCGGTGTCGTATATTAGCACCCTGTCCTCGAAGTAGCTGTCAACCATTGTGCAGAGGTATTCGGGAACGCCAAAGGTTTCCAAGGATTCCAATATGGTGTCCCATCTCGCCGAGTTGAATGCATTCCTGATGTCCAGGGTAACGACTAGGCAGTACTTTTTAGTACCGCGGTGCCACCGCGCCCCTGAGATCGCTTCTTTGGCCGTACGCGCCACCAGGTCGATGGCTTCCAGCATCGAGCTCCCTCTTCGGAAGCCATATTGATTCCTGGCCAACAGCGGGTCCACTATAGCCTCTATTCTCTGGTGCAAGATACGCTCGAGGATCTTCCCCGCAGTGTCGAGCATGCAGAGAGGACGGTATGATGAGGGCTCATCCGGCGGTTTCTTCCCTTTTGGGAGCAGTACCAGCCTCTGTCGCTTCCACACTGCCGGGAAGACACCGTCGCGGAGGCATTCGCTGTATACCTCAATGAAGTGGTCCGGCAGGGTTTGAATGGCGGTCTTCAGAGCGATATTGGGGATGCCGTCGAGTCCTCGACAGGCCCGAGTCGGTGTCGAGGGTGTGGGCGTTGGGCGTCGGGTTGGCGCTGTAGGGCGAACCTGTAGGGGGATCAGAGCGATGGTGCTGATTAACTCCTTAAGGGAGCGGGTTGGAGTCTGTGGGGTTGTGTCAACGTCGACTTCGGAGTCGGGTGGCGATGGGGAGTTGGTCGAGGGGGTTGTCGAGGGGAGTAGTGGGACGCTTCGGGGGACGACCTCGCCGTCGTCTAGGGGGGGCTTCGTCAGGGGCTTTTCTTGGGGTTTCTCCTGCGGCTTCTCCTGGGGCTGGTCTCTTCCCCTGGGACTTCTGCTGGGGCCCCTCCTAAGGCTTCGCCTGGGATCCCCACCTTTCCCGTTTTATTTCGTATCTGGCCTGAGCCAGCATCTGCTTCTGCTCCCTCCAGGCCGTTGTCGGATATGGCGGCGGGGGAGCTTCCTCGCCAAGGGGATGCGAGTATGTCCCCCTTCCGTAAGGGACCCTCCCACTGGTTTGCCTCTGAAAGGGGTCGACGGTGGTAGGGTCTCAAGTCGGTAATATGTATTTTGTATATCCTATTGCCCCGGACGTCTTCGAGGTCATATAGGCTAGGGGAAATTATGTTAACAATTTGGTAGGGGCCGTCGTATTTTGGGGCTAATTTTGCAGCGAAGTGCTGG